AAGATAAAAGCAGGAAAAAAACCACTCATAGGTGGTACTTGACAATAAATTTTTACCTAGGTCCCATTTGGCATTTTAGAAAAGTAACATAGTGTATTGTATTTGAAATATGCTACTTTACTAAAATATATGCTACTAATTACTTTGTTTACATCTTTTCTATACCTTTTCCTTTTCATTGATGAATAGAGATGATGTATTTTTATATGAAAAAAATGATAGAAACAACGACACAATTAACCGGAGTCTCACAAACTCTTGACTTATCATAGCAGTTGTGAGGAGTCCACAACTATTATACTACAACCAGAGTTGTGCGGAGTCCACAACTCTAGTGATACAACCAATCAGGTGTGGTCATATTTGAAATCTTTCTTTCATTTAATATAATGTACTTTTAAATTAAATAAGTTCGATATATTAGTCTTCATTTTCTTTGTTACACAAATATTGTAATGATAATGAAAGTGATTTAAACTAATAAATTAAAATTAGATGGTCATAAAAACTTCACTTCAAAGACATAGGAAATGTAACTTTCCAAAAAAAATAATAACAAATAAAAAGAAAAAGAAAAAAAGCATGTTATATGTACTTCAAATTTTGCCAAAAAAAACAAAAGGGATTTTTTGTTTCCCTTTTTTATTTTATTTTTTTTTTTTTTTGACATTTTGATCAAAGTCTAATGGTTATACGAAGCATGTTTTGTTTTGAAAAACCACAGTCACATTAAATGATATTTTCATGAAAAGATAGTATGTTGCATCAAATTTCAATAATTCGAAGCAAAAATGACCTTTAATGTGTTGTGTCTTTTAACTCAGAGGTTTAAAGTTTAAACATACCATTTGGAAATAATTATGTTCATATAGAATTTTTCTTATTGAAATTATTAAATGACAAGGTCAGGTTATAAAATGTGAAAATTTTCTAGGTAGGTAACTTAAAATTTGTCAAAATAAAAGGAGCAATTTTAAATACATAACTCATCACCAATAGCTTATTGTAGTGGTATGTTTTTTCCTTTCTAATTGTAAGGTTGATGACTCTCTCTCTCTCTATATATATATATATATATCTTCTTTTTTTTCTTTTCTTTTTTTCTTTTTTGATATAATTACGCTTGCATTTTTTATAGTTTCAAATATAACACTCAAATATTTTGTTAGTGTTGACTTTATTTGAATGTGTTAAATGACTATTACATACATTGTACTTTTATTATTTTTTAATATAAATTATATGTTCTGTATGAACAAAACAGACTTTTCAAGTTTTCTAAAGATATTCTTTGATTTTTAGTAAATATTGAACATGACATTACCGATATTGTATATTTTATGATAGCGGACATTAATGTTATTAACACCTAAACTAGACAGGAAGTCGGTGTCATATTTAAAATTAAAGGAGAGGTCTTTATTATTTAAACAATCTATTGGAGATATAACTGTAATTATTATTTTTTCTTTCTTTTTTCGAGATAAAAAAATATCTCACACATTCACTTTGCATGGACAAATACCTAAAATAAAAAAAAAAATATCATATCACTCGGTTATGACTAGGGATGGCAAAGTTTGATACGACCCGCCAACATAACTCGAACACAACACGAATTAAGCGAGTTTGTATTGATTTTAAACAAGTTTGGATTGTAAACAGGTTGACACGATTAATTTGTTTAGTTAATCGTGTTATATTTAGGTCAAGGGGTTCAACCCATGTAATCCGTTTATTTATACGTGTCATAAACAAATTTCTATTTAAGTTTCAAAATAACTATCTAAACTTGTATTTAATAATTTATTCTTTTGTAAATTAAAGATTTTTTTAGGAATTTGGTTTGATTAAAATTTATATTTTTCTAATATCTATTGTTTAACTGAGTATTATTAATAATTTAAATAATATAATGTTTTGTTATATTAAATAAGTCATTAAACAGGTTGTATGTGTAACATGTTTATTAAACATGCCGAGTTAGTGTTGAGGGTTTCTGATGCGATTATTAAACAGATCGTATTACCTGACTTTAATTTTCACTTACAATAATGTAAATGAGCCTATATGTGTCTCCCTTTGTACTATTTCCAAATATTGTTTTCAAAGTGAGGCCTTTAATTAAATATCTAATTTATTATAAGAATTTCATTACCATGGATAATTGATAAAAGTTTATGGACCTTATTTTGTACCCTAACCATTACAACCAAGAAAGAGAAAAAAGGAAAGAAAGTTAGAACTATCCGTAAACAATAGGCACTCTACTATTAGTGAAACCCAATTGACGTGTTACTCGAGCATAGGGTCGGTTATGGGCTTAAGCGGTCCCACAAGGGCTCCAATAATTTAAAAAGGTCTCAAATTTAAGAAATGGGCATATTTAAAATTAAAAAAAAAACAAACAAACAAACAAAAAACATGTACAAAAAGTGTCTCATTTAAAAGTTTGCTCAGAATTTTTTAAAATTTTAAGAATCTCATTATCAGTCTTACCTGATTAATTGGGTTACTCTTTATATTTAAAAGTTCACATTCGACATTTGTAACTTTCCACTTCCCGAATCACTAACTCTTAATATTTTCGTCAAGAAAATAATAATAACAATAATTATAATTAAAAGGAAAAAAAGAATTGTTAACTAAATGTTTCCAAAATAACTTAGGAAACCTATTAATTTAAAGCTGTTCCATCAATAAAAAAGCAAATGTCGTGTCACTTCATTATACATCTAAATCTTGTTGGTATGTCACAAAAAAATAAATAAATAAATAAATAAGAACACCTGACATGAAAAAGTATAATAATTTCTGTTCATACAGTTGTAATTTTGAAGCTAAAAGTGTAATGGATCAAGTCGGATCATCAAGTCGTTCAACCTCTATACGTGGCGAAGCCGAATCGCATGGCTTTTAATGCACCAACTTAAGTCAGTAAACCTTTCTTCATCAGATAAGGTGACAAAACACTGGTTGACTTTACTCATAAACTCATCCATAACCATTTATTGTGCACCTTTTATATAATGTATAATTTATTTAAATGTACGCATATCCCTTTATCCAAGCTTTTCTTTTGGTAATTCCTTTTTCCAAACTTTATATGATCCTAAATTAGTACGGATTAATTTTTTCTTTTATTCAAAATATATATATATATATTAAAAAATAGTTATTTATCTACATATTAGCCCGTGGTGTTCTTGGATGTTTCTAATCCTAAATTACCTCCTCGATTAGTGCTCAAGCCTAATATATCCTTATCCATTGATTAAAATACAAGTTATTGTTTACTTCCACTTGTATTCATTTATTTTTTTGGGAGGGAAAACATTTTGCATTGAGTATTAAAAGATAGCGGGCTTTGCTAATTGCTTTACAGGCGTTTGTCCTATTAGTATGAGAATGAGATTCCATTAAATGTATTAATTATATAAATTTTTATCTTAGTGGAATTCTACAAACATTACAGACAAATATATCCTTTTAAATTATCTAACATTTCTTCATCTCTCCCCTTTTAATCTATCTATATGAAAATGTGTGCGTGTATATATATATACACACACATGTATATTTCTTTTTACAACTATATTGGTGAATGAATTATTTGTTTTTTAAAAAAAATTCATTTAAAGGACAGTTGTAAAAATAAAAAATAAAAACAAAAAGAAATATGCACGTGTGTATATATATATATATATAACTAATTTGATATTTTTTAAAAATCTCAGAATCTATCTTGTATATGGATTCTTTTTTCGTTCTCTTTTATTTTATTTAATTATTTTTTTATTTTTTATTTTTTATTTTTTCAGAATCCATATCTTGAGAATGGATTATCCTAATTATAGTTTTTTTTCTTTTTTCAAAATTCATTCACATAGCAATAGTTATTTTATACACACACACTTCCATATGGATATATGTATATATATATATACACACACAGATGCACCCATTTTCATATGGATAGATTAAAAGGGGAGAGAAAAAGAAAGGTTAGATAATTTAAAAGAGTTTATTTGTCTAAAAAAGTAATGTTTGTAGAGTTCCACTAAAATAGAAACTTAAGTAATTAATACATTTAATGGGATTTAATTCCTATACTAATAGGATAAACGACTGTAAAGTCACAGTCGAACAAGGCGATTGTGATTAGCAAAGCCTAAAGATAGCATACGATTTTGATCGCATAATCGTATATCATTCATTAAATAAAACGAGTCAATGGAATATAAAAGAGATTATGTTTTTAAGATTTTATCAATTATACAAGTTTAAACTAAATAGTTATTTATCAATCATCCACTATATATGCCGTATGGGTATGTTCATAATTCTTTTTTAATAATATTTATCTGAGTCTGTTATACTATAACTGTGAATAATATTATCACGAATATTGCAACGGCAAACCATGATTACTATATTTTTAATTATATAAAAAATTTTGGGAGCGGCTCCAAGAACTCCCCAAATTCCAAAAGTGAGATGAAATTGTTTGCCTTTACTCCTTTTTGAATTTTATTGAGGGAGTTTAAGCTAATAATGTAACATTAAATATTACTCCAACGTGTTTAGATTTTAATCAAACCTTTGAACCCATATAAGGAGTACATATTACCAAAATCAGACGGTCCAAGATTTTCTGTCAAATTCCAAAATACGTTCAAGTTCAAAATTTGGGCACTCGCACAATCATGAGACGGTTTTCAATTATCTCCGGAATACGAGGGGGCATTTAGGCGACGTTACAGGGCATTTTGGTAACTTCAATAGAACCTAATCCAATCGTTACCAACCACGATATTCACACCTGGACACGTGTACTTCTTCTGTGGAACCACTGAAGTAACAGGGTGGGACCGTTGCCATGTGACCAAATTGAATTTTCGGGTTTTATCCAAGCCATGTAATGTACAGCGTGGCACATCTCTCCTAGTCAGCAACATCTCCTCTTCACCTTCCCCTACAAAAGGCCAACGCTCCCCATCATTTGTACTTCAGCGAGAAAAAAAAAAAGAACCCAACATAACCAAAACCTCTGCTCTCTATCACAATCAACTATATCTCTCTCTTCAAATCTACCGCCGGCAACTGCTATTTAGCCGGAAAACGAATATTCCGGCAGCCGGATACTCTATTCTCACACGCAATGTCCTTGTCTCCGTTCACCACCATCACGTTTTCCACGAACCCTAAGCGGAAAGCAATTCTCCTTCTCTGAGTTTTGAAGCTATTCGATTCTTCTTCACTACGATACACACGAGAGCAAGGTAACGATTTTTTTTCCACAAAAGTTTTTCGAGGGATTGATTTGTGTGCGTGATTTGAATGAGGTGATCTGCATGACGAAAGATAGTGATCGTGTGATGTGAGATTGTAATTAATGGTTTCGCCTTTAAAGCTGATGCAGATGTAATGTAAAGTTGTTCAACCTAACCTCATTGCATTGATTTTACGTTTCAATGCATTCTGCAGCATATATTTCTGTAGAATTTTTGAAATTAGGATTATCAGTTTCATTGATTTGAGATACAGCTTTGATCTGAATAGTCAGAGTGAACGAGTCTGAGACTGTAACAGAACTGACAGAGCACAGCTAAAAGGTAGTGAGGGGGTTAGAGTAGAGTTTAAAATCAGAGGAAGACCTTTTAATTGATAGCAATGCCTTTTCCGATGAAGATTCAACCGATCGATTCTCAGACGTATCGAGAATCAATCCGAAACGATTCATCCAAACTTGTGGTGAAATCGCGCCTCAGGAGGCTCTTCGATCGGCAGTTCCCTAGCGTTCTGCGGATTTCGTCGGCCGACAAGCCGAGTGTCGGTGAAGCTCAGTTCAGCAAAGACGGAGGGACTGAGTTTGAACCGAGCTCGGTTTGTTTGGCCAAAATGGTTCAGAATTTCATTGAGGAGAGCAACGAGAAGCAATCGGCTGCGAAATGTGGTCGCAATCGCTGCAATTGCTTCAACGGAAACGGAAATGACAGCTCCGACGACGAATTTGATTTCTCTAGTGGATTCGGTGACTCGTTCCAAACAGCTTCATCTGGTGATTCTTTCGATACACTCAAGGTAAACATTGCTTAATTTCTATCAACGATCTGACTTTTCTTCACACACATATATACCGTAGTTATACATACAATTCACGGCAATCTGAAAATAGATGTTTTGTTTTGTAGAGTTTGATTCCCTGCGCGAGTGTTGACGAGAGAAATCTCTTAGCAGACACCTCAAAGATCATCGAGAAAAACAAAATTTGCAAGCGAAAGGATGATTTGAGAAAAATTGTTACGGACGGCCTGTTAATTCTCGGTTACGATGCTTCAATCTGCAAATCGCGATGGGAAAAATCTTCATCTTATCCAGCAGGTAGCTCTCTCTCTCTCTCTATAAATATATATAGATACATACACATATATATATACACACACATGACGATATTTATTTTTGTGTATTTTTTGTTCGATTGTTTTTTTTATTTATTTATATATGTATAATTTTACAGGAGAATATGAGTTCATAGATGTGTTTGTGGAAGGGGAGAGAGTATTGATTGACATAGACTTCAGATCGGAGTTTGAGATAGCTCGATCAACCGGAAGCTACAAAGCGATCCTTCAAAATCTGCCGAACATCTTCGTCGGCAAAGCCGATCGTCTCCAACAAATGGTTTCGATTGTATCAGAGGCCGCAAAACAGAGCTTGAAGAAGAAAGACATGCACATTCCTCCGTGGAGGAAAGCCGAGTACATGAGAGCTAAATGGCTCTCTTCTTACACCAGAACCACTCCACCACCAAACGACGCCGTCAAGGCCAACACCGAAACCCAGACTCCAAACGAGCACAATACTGAAACCGAAAACCAGCAGCTCTCTGTAACAAACGAAAGCGAGTGCGGAGAGCTTGAACTGATTTTCGGTGAGGAGTCGTCGTCGTCGTCGTCGTCATCGGCGGGAGTGGATCACGCGGAAACCGAAACCGAGCCGTTGTCGTCGCCGGCGAAGAACTCCGGCCAGAATGAGAAAAAACCGTTTAAGGTATCGACGTGGCAACTGCCGGCGATCAAACCGAGGAGTTGCGAGAGAGGAGCCAAAGTCGTCACCGGATTAGCTTATCTACTCAAAGAAAAACCTTAATAAATTTTGTTTCATTTTTTTTTTTTTTTTAATTTTCATTTCTTCCAAGTTTAATATATACAGAATATATAAGGAGTTTTGGATAATTTTCGTATATTCCTCTTTCTCTTTTTACTTTTTCTTTGAAGAATATGTAAGAAAATCAAGCCTTGCGTTGATTATTGTAATGAAAATAGGAGAAACAAAAATGTTACTAAAATCTAAAATCTTTCTTATTATCTATCCAAAATGTTTCCCCAGAGGAACAAGAGAGATACATATCTTTTAATTTTTTTTATCTAAATTTTGTTTTATTTTATATTATTTTTTGGGAAATTGTAAAATTATGGGGGGAAGAGAATGAGGGTTTAATGACGGCAGGCTCGTGCCGTCTCGGTCGCCGTGAACAGGAAGCAAAGGTTCATTGGAATAACGTGGGTGTTCCTCTCTTTCCTTCTTTTCTCTCTCTTTCGTTGGAGTGCTGAAACTGCCTCTTTTCTCGATTCAACTCAGCTCGTGAAGCCCATTTCACTCGCCATTTCAAGGCCACTGGGCTATTCTTCCATTCTGAGCCCTTCTTTCACTTTGACCCGACAGTGGGCTCTGTGAAATGCTTTGGATGAGCGTGAACACGTGGCGCAATCGCATTGGTGTAAACAATATGGGGTACCAAAGCAAAGAAGACTGACTTTCTTGGGTCTCAACCGATTGGCTATTAATCCGTTTTTTATTACACACGGATTGGGCTTGACTCTCCCTGAAATACTTTACTTCTCAATATCTGAATCATCAGTTTTTTAATATATATATACAAAATATATGTTAAAACTTACTATCATCATATCTTTTTACTTGGGACACAAAAATAAATCACAAAAAGTATTCATTTATGTGGGTTCCATTTTTTTGTTTTGTTTTTTTTTTGGTTACACAAACAAAAGAATACTGAGTTTATAAAGTATCTTTCAAAAGCAAAAGCAATTAGCATTTTAGTACTTGGAGACATTACAACAGTAGCTATGTTCTTTACTCATAAACCACCTCTATGGACCATACTGACCTTGAGTGAATACTTTTTCTTTTTCTTTTTCTATTTTCGTCACTTTTGCGCGTGTACCATCTAAGTTGCACAATATTTTTTAAAAGTATTGTTCTTACGTTTTGAGTACGTTTTTGAACTCATGCTTGCTCTAGTTTTTACTATTTGTGATTTAATTTTATAGCTTTTGCACTTTTCTTTTCAAATTCATTCTGACTTCGTACTCGGTTGAGCTTCGTGACTTAGAGTGCAACTATGATAATAGCTGAAATTTGATTTTTTTTTTTTTAAGATAATTAATTTTGTTATGTGAATGACTTATTTTTGACATATATATATATTTTTTGGGCAATTAGTAATTTTTGACAATTACTGCCATACACACTCTTTCTCTTGTGTAAAATGAAGTATAGGTGACAATCATTGTGGTGGGGCATTCGTAATCCATTATGTTGTGTATATGTTAATATACCCCTCTATCTCATACAAAGTGGGTAGGGTCAGTTACAAAGTTCTCAGAACTAACTTAGAAGCTGTGGGGTCACTTTCCTTATTTTTTTTCTTTCTTTAGCGAGAGTGGGGTCCCTTTTCTGTACAAAGCAAATAATAAAAGCAATTGTCCCAAAGTTTGACAATAATAATACCCTTTGTGAAAGCAACACACCACCTACTGCTCTTTCTCTCTCTAAAAAGAATATGGTACAGGAATGGAGATTGCTTGCTGGGTGTAAATTTGATTTTAACAGAGATTGCCAAAGCCACACGAAATCGCACCATTCAAATATTCATCATCAAACACATAGTCTCCGTTTCGAATAGATTTTGTTTATGTTATTTTTATTTTTAGACCATTATAGTATCAATTTTAATAATAAAAATATATTTGGTATAGTCTTATTTTATTTTATTCGTGAACAGTGACACAAAAATAAAATATAAAAAAATTATTTTTTCTTATTTTGACAATTATTCATGATCCAAATTCATAACAGTAATGCAACACAAGCTCGATATTTTCACAGCAAAATTTCATTTTCAAACGTGTTTTAAATTATTTTTTTTTTTTTTCTAAAACACTCTTATAACAAAAATACTATTTCTATTTTAACCAAAATCAAAACGCTTAAAATAAAACACATGCTAATCGAACACGTTGCATGGGTGAGATAGGGGAAAAAAAAATGCCAAACTTGTGAGTGTTGTGACACATACATCTTAAAAATGGTGGACCCTTTTTTTTATAGGCAAAATTTGAATTGAATTTCTCATGTGGCACTAATTTCTAGAATATTGCAGCAATCAAGAGACCAATGAGAGAGCAATGTGAAGCCCATTTTCATAAGCTTTTTCAAATCAAATAATTTAACATGTCAGACAATAGAGAGCCTTTCAATTTAATCCCATTTTAATATTCGGGAAAAAAAAAAAAAATCCCATTTTAATCTGTGGTCTCAACCTAACTACTTTACTTTTTACCTTTTACTTTTCCACTTTTGGCTTATTTTCTCCTCACTTGAATGCGACATGGTTAATTGATGGAGTTTAATTTAACTTCATCTAACTTCATCACGTTTATATATATAGGAAACAGGATGAGACATTACTTTGATTTAATTCACATTGGTTTTAATTTGTGTGGACACAAGAAGTTCAACTTTTCTCTATTCTGATTTCTTTCAAATATTTTGTTCAGAAGTGATTGATCACTTACACTTGTGCTGCATTTTGAGTATAAATAATTTCTTGAAACTATTATTATCACCCGTGTGAATGAGAAGCATTACACTAGTCAAAACCTTAAATATCTGATTTCAAAAAAAAAAAAAAAAAATCTTTTCAAATGTGTTGAAGAATTCTTCATAAAATTTTGAAAATTGAAATCTTAAAATTCTGTATTAAATTACACAAAAAAAAAAAATTTTAGATGATGGATTTCCAATTAATATGCCAATTTGAAGTCTTTCATGAGATACTCCATGTAAAAATAAAAATAAAAAATTATTCCAAATTAAAGAATGTTGAAACATAATGCACACTTGTGGTCGATCATATGCTAGAATTTGTCCGAGAGTGGTCTTCATCCAGAGGATCCCAAGTGCCCGGATCAATCGAAAGTTCGAACCATAAAAAAAAAAAAAAGAGCAAAACAAGTTTATTTTTATGCCGAAAACGGGATAAACATGGATTTTTTAAACCTTAGTCAAAGGTCATTTACTTTCTTCTAACATACCAAATTCGAAAAAATACAAACCAACTTTCCACAGTTTTGACCGTTAAAATGTTTTAGGGTAGCCTCTTGCAAACACACAACCTATTGTAATATTTCGAATTCATATTCTAATCTGGTATATTCATAATTCAGATTAGAATATGAATTAGTCTGGAAAAAAAAAAAAGTGAAAAAAAATAATTATGAATTATTCTGACACCACACAAGTGATGTACACTGCTTCAGTGGAATCAAATCCATGTATACAAGGTCCAAAAATATAAATTCATGTATACGTGTGGGGGCGTTTTGCACGATTTCTCAGAGATTTAGTTGTCCCTGAATATACTCCGGCTACTTAAAAATAAATTATAAAAACTTCTTATCTTTTAATGATAAATAAAACATTTAATACGTACGTTCATCCAAATATTAATGCATGAATATATAAACGATAAAATCAATTTTGACAATAATTTTAATCAAAATCATCAGCCAATTTCATTGATCATTGAGTAGAGTTGGCAAGTGAGTGGGTCTTAATCCAGCTAAACACAACAAATTAAGTAACCACTTTTAATTATTTTTCTTAATTCTTATGGTTTGATTGGTTATTTAGGTATCAAAATTAGATAACCATCAACATACAAGTACGTCTTGAACTAATTTGTATAATTCAATTGTAACCTTCGAATCCAGGAATATATAGTGATTGAATATCATGTATATCTAATTGCAAAGTAACACAAGTTGTTTCAAGTTGCTATATATAATAGTAGTATATCTGAAGATTACGAGACGTCAAGCAATCATCTTCAATTCCAAAAATCACATTATTATATAGAATAAATGTTAGGTAACACTAATAATTTAATAATAGCCTAATCCATGTTCTATTATTAGAGAGAGATAATTCATCATTGATTATCACTACTGAATGATGATTTTAGGGTGGGTTAGGGTTTGTCGAGGAATCCGGTATCAATTATTAATTAGGGTGTTCCGAAATTATCATGGAGTTTCATGTTTCTTGCAACTTTCTAGGCTACCAAACAAACACATATATGGATAATCACCGTCCTTTGTAAAATTGAGAGTGTTAAGGAGGAATAAACTACGTACCTAACATTTGCTCAAGTCTTGAATAACTCAAACCTGCACAAAATGTTTTTATCATTTCATGATATGGTTACAAGTACTTATAAACAAGTAATATATAGGGTATTAATTTCCACTTCAAATTAAGTACAATTTTAGGAGTCAATCAAGCTGTTGATCTTCAGAGATTATATTTCTTGCCAAAGATAATTAACAAATACAATGTGCTTATCTTAAGTTACAAGAAGGTTCACACACCCAACAGCCAACAAACCTATAACTATCACATCAGAGGTGTTTCTCGTAGCTACTCTCTCTCTCTCTCTCTCTCTCTCTCTCTCTCACACACACACACACACACACACTCATTATGTTGATGCGGAAACCATTTATATTCTTTCAATTATTGGGAGGTTTTCAATCTGGCACATCCATCTTTATAAATTTCCCAGTACTTGGTTTCCCTTTCTATGAAACATGTAGATGAGAATTTGCCTTATAAAGGAACAATCGGATTATTTATACACAATTATTTGTCAACAAGTTTTCTCAAAATTGGCCCTCTAATCTTGTACCAAAATTACTAATCTTCAAACTTTAACCCGCATAATTAGCATCGAATGTCCGAACTTCTATCATTATATAAAACAGTTAATGTTGATGCACTAGTAAGTTTAACTTAAAGTCACAAATTCAAAATCGGAAACAATGTCTTCATATAGAGATAAGTCTGATGGGTAATATAAAGTCGCTTGATAGATACTGTATACCAAAATTCAACTTTGGAATAAGTTGGCTGGAGGACAGAGCTCCCGGTCCGAAAGTAGAGGTTTGGGGACTTTCTCAGATCCCAATTTTTTTAAGGTCATTTTGGTAATTTT